GACCCCAGCCTATCACCATGCACCAACATCAACTCAAAATGGATTAAAGACCTTAACATTAAACCTGAATCTCTGAAACTACTGCAGGACAGAGTAGGAGAGACACTTGAACTAATAGGCACAGGAAGGAACTTCCTGAACAGAGTCCCAGGGTCACAACAAGTTGGAGAGAGACTCGACAAATGGGACTACCTTAAAATAAAAAGCTTCTGCACAGCTAAATCTATCGCAACTAAGCTAGAAAGACAACCAACTAATTGGGAAAAAATATTTACCAGCAATATATCAGACAAGGGGTTAACATCCTGTATATACAGGGAACTCAAGAAACTAATCCCTCCCAAACCTAACAAACCAATTACTAAATGGGCAAGGGAACTAAAGAGGGACTTCTCAAATGAAGAAATAAAAATGGCAAAGAAACACATGAGGAAATGTTCATCATCCCTGGTGGTGAAGGAAATGCAAATAAAGACAACCCTGAGATACCACCTTACCCCAGTCAGAATGTCCCACATCCACAAATCAGCCAACGACAAATGCTGGAGGGGATGTGGAGAAAGAGGAACCCTATTACACTGCTGGTGGGAATGTACACTTATCCAACCACTTTGGAAAGCAGTCTGGAGGATCCTTAGAAAGCTAAAGATTGACCTCCCTTACGACCCAGTCATACCACTTCTAGGCATCTACCCTGAACAACAGGAACCAATATACAAGGACACGTGCACCTCCATGTTTATTGCAGCACTGTTCGCAATAGCTAGGATATGGAAACAACCTAGATGCCCCACCACAGATGAATGGATCCAAAAATTGTGGTATCTATACACAATGGAATATTATGCAGCCATTAGAAATGACAAAATAATGGCATTTGCAGGGAAATGGATGGAGCTAGAAGGAATCATGTTGAGCGAGGTAAGCCAAGAACGAAGAGACAAACGGTACATGGTCTCCCTGATAAGTGGATGCTAAATCCAAAATGTTAGGTGATACGACAAAACTAACAGGACTTAAGAAACAAAGAACTCCCGCTCATCTGGTTGAACCACTACTAAATATCCCCATGCTGCTGATCACAAATATGGTATATAACATGTGAACACTGTTATATATTACAGACTGTGATAGACAATTTGCTCCAGGAAAGTTAGAATGAACTTGTGACTTTGAAATTATGTAATCACTTAATCACAATCAAAAAAAAAAAAAGAACCTCGGGGAAGGGAGGGAGGGAGGGGATGGTAGGGGGAAAACAATGGAGGGGGTAACAATGTTCAAGAGGAAGTGTACTCATTACCTCACTCATGTAACTGTAACCCTCTGTATAGTATCTTTACAATAAAAAAAAATAACAACAACAGCAACAAAAAAAAAAAAAAGAGAACTATAGACCCATTTCTTTGATGAACATTGATGCAAAACTTCTCAACAAAATTTTGGCCAATCGACTTCAACAATCCATCTAAAAACTCACACACCACGATCAAACAGGATACATTTCAGGGATGCAAAGCTGGTTCAATATACGCAAATCAATTAATATAATTCATCACATCAACAGGAGCAAGGATAAGAACCACATGGTTATCTCAATAGATGCAGAAAAAGCATTTGACAATATCCAACACCCCTTTATGATGAAGGTCTTGGAAAAATTAGGAATCCATGGAACATTCCTCAATACCATAAAGGCTGTATATGACAAACCTACAGCCGGAATTATACTTAATAGTGAAAAACTAAAGCCATTTCCTCTTAACTCAGGAACAAGACAAGGATGTCCACTCTCTCCACTTCTCTTCAATCCAGTATTAGAATGCCTAGCTACAGCAATAAGACATGATGCAAACATAAAGGGGATCCAAATAGGGAAAGAAGAATTAAAACTCTCCCTCTTTGCAGATGACATGATCATGTATTTAAAGAATCCCATAGACTGCACTCCCAAATTACTCAAGCTGATTCAAAACTTTGGCAAAGTAGCAGGGTATAAAATTAACCCTCAAAAATCAATGGCTTTTCTGTATGCCAACAATGAGAAAAGTATGGCTGAAATTAGGAAAGCAACTCCATTCGTAATACCCTCACAAAAAATAAAATACCTAAGAATTAACTTAACCAAAGAAGTGAAGGACCTCTATGATGAAAACTTTAAAAACTTGAAAAAGGAAATCAAAACTTTCTAAGTGGCAAAAACTCCCATGCATCTGGATTGGAAAGATCAACATCATGAAAATGGCAATACTTCCCAAGGCTTTCTACAAATTCTATGCGATACCTATCAAAATTCCAACCTCATTTTTCAAGGAAATAGAAGAGGCAATCCAAAAATTCATATGGAACAATAAAAGACCCCGAATAGCAAAAACGATCCTCAACAGAAAGAACAGTGCTGGAGGAATATCAATACCAAATTTCAAACTCTACTATAAATCCATAGTAATCAAAACAGCTTGGTACTGGCACAAGAACAGACCTCAGGACCAATGGAATAGAATTGAAAACCCAGAAATGAACCTACAGACCTAAAGTCATCTTTGATAAGGGAGCTAAAAAAAATAGAATGGAAGAAAGATAGCCTCTTCAGTAAATGGTGCTGGCAAAAATTGGTTAACTACTTGTAGAAAACTAAAGCTAGATCCTTATATATCACCCTGCACCAGAATCAACTCCAAATGGATCAAAGACCTCAGAGTCAAAGCAAACACTCTGAAACCATTACAGGATGGATTAGGAGAAACCCTAGGTCTCCTTGGCACAGGCCGAAATTTTCTTAATAGAGACCCAGAAACACAACAAATCAAAGAAAGGTTGGACAAATGGGATTGCATGAAGTTGCAGAGTTTCTGCATGGCAAAGGACATAGCTAGCAAGATCAATAGAAAGCCCACGGAATGGGAGAAGATCTTCACTAGCTATACAACAGACAAGGGTCTCATATCTAAAATATACCTGGAACTCAAAAAATTAAATCCCCCAACAACAAATCTTTAAAGAAATAACTGCCCAATAAATAAGTGGGCTAAAGACTTAAAGAGAAACTTCTCTGAAGAGGAAAGAAGGCTGGCCAATAGACACATGAAGAAATGATCAACCTCCCTAGCCATAAAAGAAATGCAAATCAAAACGACGTTGAGATACCACCTCACACCAGTTAGAATGGCTAAAATCAAGAACTCTAAAAACTCTAAAAACAGATGCTGGAGGGGATGTGGACAGAAGGGAACCTTACTGCATTGTTGGTGGGAGTGTAAACTTGTTCAACTACTTTGGAAAGTAGTATGGAGGTTCCCCAAAAGACTCCACATAGAGCTCCCCTATGACCCAGCAATCCCACTTTTGGGCATTTACCCAAATATTTACAAACAAGACCACACTAAAGCTACCAGCACGACTATGTTTATTGCAGCACTATTTACTATAGCTAAGATATGGAACCAACCTAGATGCCCCTCAGTAGATGAATGGATCAAGAAAATGTGGTATATATACACAATGGAATTCTATGCCTCCATCAGAAAGAATGACATTGCCCCATTTGTTAGGAAATGGAAAGGCTTGGAAAAATTTATATTAAGTGAAGTAAGCCAGGCCCAAAGAAACATAGGTCCCATGGTTTCCCTTATTTGCAATATCTAGTATATGTCTGAGTCAAGCAGAAAAAGTTAGATAAGGTGATGTTAGGGAAATGAACCCTAAGATATATATTCAAATGTTTATTTTCTTTCATGCGATTGTTTCTAACACATTTATAAGATTATTTCTTTGTTGCTTTGTATGTCCCTCCCCCACAGTATAACCCCTGCTTTCACTGTATTTGATGTTGGTATAATTTGTGGAGGGGAAGGGGAAAAACAAATCGTTTAAATAGGGATACAGGTGGACCCATTGCAACAATGAGATGTACAAATCGTTAGGTCGAAAACGAACTTTACAACTTTGGTGGGGGGGTGGTTTAGCGGGGAGGATTGGTGGGGGAGGATGGGAAGGGATGGGAAGGGGAAACAAAGGAGGAGGCTACAATGCTTGATAAGAAATGTACTCATTATCTTGCCCATGTAATTGTAACCCCTCAATATTTTCACAATAAAAAAATAAAAATTAAAAAAAGAAAAAATATTAAGATGATAACTTAGCTGTGTATACTGACTCCTCAAAAACCATAGACATTCTCCCAGGTTTAAACAGCTGGTCAGAAGAATCTGTAACTATTTTAGAACTTAAATACCTAATTTAAAATCCTAAAGACAAATTTATTAGGCAAATTAATTCCTTAGTCATAATCATCTATAATAAGAGAATTCACTATTAATTTCATGAAGCCAATATCACAGACTCAGCTCCAACATCAAAGATATGCTAAGAAAATCATGTCTCTGAAAAACACCACTCATAACTACAATATAGGTAAGATGTTTCAGAAATACCTTTTACAAGATTAAATCCCAGTGGCTGGTTATTATTTCCTACATCTGATACTATTATTTCAATCACTTGGTGTGGCTGCATTGGCCCCTTCGAACACACAGCTGCTGGACAATCCATGGTCACTCTGAAGGCAAGAGCAGAAACCCCAGGGACAGCAAAATATAAATAGTGCTTATTCCTGAGACTAGACAGCTTTTGCCACGTTAGAGCCGCTAAGTAGATCATTTTAACATGGGAAACCACAGTCATGTATGTAGTCATCATGGGGAGATCGCTACATCAATACCAGCTGCCGATAAAACCTGTAATATAAGACAGAATTTGGGCAAAAACTATCTGCACTGGTGCGGTGCACAGCCAATTAAACAATGAAGCGCGGAGCCCCTATCGATCTGGGGACCATTACAGTAAGATAGCGCCATGGCGCCCAAAGCGGCAAATGTGACCCAGCAGCGCGAGCATCTGGAGCTGTAGAAGATCGCAGATTGTGTGACCTCTGTGCCATCTCCGCACGGTGTATACGCTACCAGAAATGAGTGCTGTGGGTGCCAAAAGGAAACATTTACCTTTCACTGATGCGAAGAACGCGTCCTTGCAGTGGATAAAACACCTTCACCTCTCTGCACCGAAATTAAGTGTTCCGTGTTTCACAGCACTGACTTTCTGGTGTTACCTGAACAAAATGTCTGTTCCTCGAGACTTCCTGTGGAGAATAGTTGCTACTTCCGGGGCTTGAAAGCAAGTGCCCTGCGGTTAGACATTGGAAGCTTTGTTCAGCCCTGTCACAAAAGGTTTCCGTAACCTCTCAGAACCACTGAGGCTGACATTTTTTCCTATCCTTGAAATGAAGTGGAAACAAAGTCAGAAGAAGGAGAACTTGGGCAGGTGCCCAAGCCATTTCTCAGAAAAGGACCCAATCACCTATCTAGAATGCTTGGCACCAATGGAAAAACCTAATACCTTAAGGTGAGGTTTTCTGTTTGTTTGTTTTTGCCGTCCTGGGGCTTGAACTCTGCGCAGGCGCTGACCCTCAGCTCTTCCACAGCGCCACTTCCAGTTTTCTGGTGGTTAATTGGAGATAACAGTCTCACGGACTTTCCTGCCCGGGCTGGCTTTGAACTGTGATCCTCAGATCTCAGCCTCCTCAGTAGCTAGAATTACAGGCGTGAGCCACCAGCGCCCGGCAAGTTTGTTTTTAATGTCATGGTGATAACATCAGTTGTTTAAATGTAGTTATTTTTAAATTTTTATTTTGATCTTAAAGTAGTTGTACAAAGGAATTGCTATTCAAAAAAGTAATTTGTGAATACAGTGCACATGTTGATCCAGTCATGCATTTCAACATTTTCACCCCTCCCAACCACATCTTTTCCCTCCGTTTTAATTTTGTGTAATATACATTGGATTTTTATGACTTTATTTGCCCCCTTACTTTGATAATAATTTTTTAATAGAGAGGGGAGAAATCTCACTGTATTTTCTTGGTAGACTGAGATGTCTCAAAATGGTATACTCAGGCAATCATAAAACATTTATTACTTACATAAAAGACAAGTCAGTTCTAAGGACTGTATATAGTGAGGAATTGGTGCATGTTAACTATATTAAAATTATGAGGGTACTGAACCTCCAAAATAGTTCTAAGAAGATAGAAAATGGAAATTAATGATTACAGACAGTATTTGACCAGGTTATTTGAGAGAATATTCCAGAATGATGAAAGACAATAGTGTACAAGATTTAGGAAAAATAATTTTAAAACATTTTATTAGCATATATTACTTATATGTGGAAGTATAATTGTGACATTTCATATATATTAACAATGGTATATTGATTAGATTTACCTCCTCCATCATTCCATCTCATCTTTCCTCCTCCTTTCTTAAAACAATTTTGAGCCGGGCACCAGTGGCTAACGCCTATAATCCTAGCTACTTAGGAGGCTGAGATCTGAAAATCGTGGTATAAAGCCAGCCCAGGCAGGAAAGTCCGTGAGAGTCATATCTCCAATAAACCACCAGAAAACTGGAAGTGGCACTGTAGCTCAAGTGGAAGAGCGCTAGCCTTGAGCTAAAGAACTCAGGGACAGCGCTCAGGCCCAGAGTTCAAGCCCCACAACTGACCAAAAAACAACAACAACAACAATTTTTAAAGTTTCATTGTTATATTTCCATAAATTAATTTATATACCAGAAGTCCAATGAAGAGTCTCAATTACTATAGTTTATATGTTGGTAGCAAGTTTTTAACATATATGCTAGGGATCTAAACAGACATGATAGTAGAAGCCTACCAATAAGACCACCATGACAGAGAAAGAAACACAAAAATTCAGATTAATGGATGAATGGATCAATAAAATGTGACATATATACACAATGGGATTTTACTCATCCATTAGAAAGAAGGGTATTGTATCTTTTGCAAAGAAGTGGATGGACCTGGAAAAATTGCATTTATTAAGTGAAGTAAACCAGATCCCAAGAGACAAAGGATGCATGTTTTCTTTCATATGTAGAAGTTAAATCTAATTTACAAATGTACAAGTAAATACATACTGGGTCATATGCAAGTATATGCAAACTATGGTATATAGAGAGGAGAATTGAAATGGTGGACACTTTAGGAGAACTCACAGTCTAACAAAATGAATATCAGGAAGCTGGTAGTTGAAATGTTAATGGAGGAGGAGGAAAGAAATGGAATAGGTGAATGAAGAGAGGAAGTGTAGAGAATGCACCCATAATATTCAATGCCTATCCTATGAAGCTGGGAATATTGAGGGGAAGGTTGGTAGCAAGTTGGGACGGCTGGAGGAGAATGATGAAAGGGGTGATATCAATCAAGATGCATTGAATTTATAAACTTACATGTTGAATGGTAACCTCTTTGTTGAATGTACACTAAGCAAATCAATGATAGAAAAGTAAAACAGATTCTGTTGGAGGGCAGCTGTTCTCCATAGGAGTGGGAATGGGAGGGCAAATAGAGACAGTGAATGAAAATGAATATAATCAAATAATCTATCTATGGGGAGGGGCAAGAAAGTGATAGAGTGCATTTGCTTAGGATGCAGTGCAAACATGTATGGAAATGTCACAATGAAAACCCTCTTGGTACAACAGTGTATGACAATTAAAAAGGGAAAACTAGCCAGGCGCCAGCGGCTCACACCTGTAATCCTAACTACTCAGGAGGCTGAGATCTGAGTATCATGGTTCAAAACTAGCTCAGGCAGGAAAGGCCATGAGACTCTTATCTCCAAATAACCACCAGAAAACTGGAAGTGGTACTGTGGCTCAAGTGGGAGAGCTCTAGCTTCAGGTACAGTACCTAGGACCTGAGTTTAAGCCTCTGGACCAACAAGAACAAGAACAACAATAACAATAACAAAAGGGACAAACAGAGCAGAATAAAAAATATGTATCTTCTGAGATAAGGATGGTCAAAAGGTGGGTGTGGACATAATTCTAGGTATTCACATAGCCTCCCTTTATGTTTTTTCTTCTATGCTGAAATCCTCAAATTCCCAGAAGAAAGCTTTTCTAAAAATGTTCTATTACTATTTTCATAAATCAAAAATATTCATTATATTCTGTTTTCATGGATGACTGATTTCAAATATTCATTTGAAGAATAAGTTCAAAAATAGCCAGTATATATCATAGAAATAAAAGGGATTTGTATGTCCCTCCCCCACAGTATAACCCCTGCTTTCACTGTATTTGATGTCGGTATAATTTTTGGAGGGGAAGGGGAAAAACAAGTCGTTTAAATAAGGAAACAGGTGGACCCATTGCAACAATGAGAAGTATAAGTTGTTATGTCGAAAACAAACTTTACAACTTTGGTGAGGGGGGGAGGACTGGGTGGGGGCGGGGCGGGAGGCTGGGAAGGGATGGGAAGGGGAAACAAAGGAGGAGGCTACAATGCTTGATAAGAAATATACTCATTATCTTGCCCATCTAATTGTAACCCCTCTGTACTGTAGTTTCACAATAAAAAATAAATAAAATTAAAAAGTAAACATTAAAAAAAAAGAAATAAAAGGGAGCTGGAAGGGGGGGAGGATGGGATGGGAAGGAGAAACAAAGGAGGAGGCTAAAATGCTTGATGGGAAATGTACTCATTATCTTGTCCTTGTAATTGTAACCCCTCTGTACAGTATTTTCACAATAAAAAAAATAAAATTAAAAAAAAAAACAAAACAAAAGCCCTGCTCCCTAGCCACAAATACACTATTAAATTGGAATTTTTGTCATTAAAAAAAAAGAAATAAAAGGGAATATACCTTTGAAATAGCAAAACCTATTATGAGGCAAATGTATGGGGGGTTTTTTGGGAGGGTTCAGTGGTGGTGGGGCCTGAACTCTGGGCCTGGGCACTGTCCCTCAGCTCTTCAGCTCAAGGCTAGCTATCCTACTAAAACGATCACTAAACTTAAGAGAAAAAAAATACCAACAACTTTGGTTTTTTTGAAACTGTGGATTCTAATCAAAGACTTAAAACAGGTGTTTAATATCTTGTCAGGTTTTCATATGACCAATGGGAAGGTGACAGGTTACTCAATGGTCACACATGTCTTTGAATGTAATGTTTGCAAAAATAGTTTGGAAATGTCAATGAATGGTTGATTGAGGTTCACAAAAACAGTAACAGAAAGAAACACAGTAAGATGGGAGAACCTGATTCATGATTTATCATAATAGAATATTTATAATAAATAAATAGAATATTTATAATAAATAAATAGAATATTTACAATTCCTGGGCACTGGTGGCTCATGCCTGTAATCTTAGATACTCAGCAGGCTGAGATCTGAGGATCATGGTTTGAAGTCAGCCCAGGCAGTAAAGTCTGTGTGATTCATCTCCAATTAAGCACCAGGAAACAGGAAGTGGAGCTGTGGCTCAAAGTGGTTCAATACTTGCCTGGAGCTAAAAAAACATAGGGACAGTCCCATGACCACCACCACTACCACCACCACCACCATACCTCCAATAACAACAAAAGCCCAGGGACAGCATCCAGGCCCTACATTCAAGAGTTCAAGACCTAGGACTGGCACACACGCAACACACACACACACACACACACACACACTTAACTTGGCTAGTTTTCATTTAAAAACTATTGAGTGGCCCCACAGATGCCAGGGCATTGGAATAACTAATCAAAGACTTCAAAGCAACTAATTTAAAAATGTTTAAAGAGGTAGCAAAAGATCTCAAGCAGCTGGGCATGGTGGCACAAGCCTATGACTCTAGCTATTTAGGAGATAGAGGGTTGTAGTTCAAGGCCAATGCAGGTATAAAATTCTCAAGACTCCATCTCAGCCAATGGCTGGGTATGGTAGTATGTGCCTGTTATCTCAGCTACTAGGGGAGTGGGTTGGGGGACTAGGGCAGCTTAATGGTTGAGTATAGTAGTGCTGGCTTGTCATCCCCAGTGAAAGAACAATAGGAGAATAGCAGACCAGGCAGTCCTGAGTGTAAAGCAAATCCTACCTTGAAAATAACTGATATGAAGAGAGGCTGGAGGCATAATAGTAGAGTGATTTGTCTAGCAACTACGAAGCTAGGAGTTCAATCCCCAGGACTGAAAAGAAAAAAAACACCCTGAAGCAAACAAATGGAG